ATAAGTGTTCTCCAAACGTCCAGCCGCAACAGCAGCGAACAAGCAGGAAGCAATGAACTAAACAAAATTTAATTAATTAATTAACAAATTACTTATAATTGCATTGAACTCACCAATTTCATTTTTTTTTTTGAGATGTTTGTATTGGAAGAGATCACAATTGACTGATGATCCTGTCTTCATCCTCAGCATCTTTTATACGTGCAGAAATGAGGTCGAGAGATGATACACTTGCACTGGATTTTCGGTAACGAGGATTCCAAGGACGCCCGAGTAAAAGTGAGAACGTATTCTTCTGGTTATAGATTCTTTTGACATTCTCGATGTGTGCTGTACCGCATCTGATGATCTCGTTTCGTGGTCAATTACGAGTGGCGCCAACACATTTATTATAAATTACGAACGGATTCCTGTTCTATCAAGGATAAATTACAATGCACAACAGAAACGGTTGCAACTCAATAATTAATTAAGTATAAATTTACATATTTTAGTGTTCCTATTACAAGCAAATAGTAACGGATACAAAATCGAAAGAATATTGAAATTAAAGCTACTAAATCTTATTTTGTCAGACAAAACGTGAAAATACTACATTTTTTAGAGCAACGATGTTTTTATAATTTGATTACCCAAACAATAATAACTACAAATCTCGAAGTATACTCAAATTAAAACTCAAAAAAAATACTTTAATCAGATAATACATAATTATAATTAAAATAAGCGATTGTCAAGAAATTATAAAAATGTGAAGATATGAAAAAAAAAACGCAAAATTGTTATAATTTATTTATTAATTATATTAAATTACAATTTTCATAAATGGAAATGCCATAGTTTTGTCTTTAAATTACATTTTCAATCATGAAATTAGCATGCGTGGTTGTCGAGTAATGAAATAAAAGGTGAAGACACTTATTTTTAAACTCGAATTTTATTGCTCAAGTTTAACAGCTTTTAATAAATGAAATACTCAAACTATAAATCTGCTAGTAGATTCATTGGAAAGGTCATAAATGTACCATTTATTTCGTGGTCGATGATGTAATTATCTTAAGGGGTTGTTGAGAAATTTAGGAAAGACTGAAAAAAAATTGGAGAAAACGTCGTTTCGCTGTTACGTAACGAACATAACGTACCTTTTGTTATGCAAAAAGTTAAGTAAGGGTGGCGCCTATCTTACGGAATCATGAAATGCAATAAAAGTTTTGTAATTTTAGAGTAATATTGAACAAAAAAGGAAAAAATGAAAAGTTCACTTTTCCAATTCACTTTTTTTTCCAACTTCTTCAGCTCGTAGCAGGCGACTCGGGGACAGCACGAAGATGACAGTTGGCTCATTGGAAAGGTGAGACATTCAGTTTTCATACGAGTGATGTAATTATCTTAATGTAATGTACAATATTTCTAAGATTAGTATTGATATACGAATTGCTTAGTTTGGCTTGGAACTGGTAAGTTTAACAGCTTATAACAAACGAAACTATAAATCTGCCTGTAGATTTATTTGAAAATGTCATAAATTTACCTTTAATTTGTTTGTATTATTATATAAGTGAAATAAGTGGTTTTATAGTAAAAGAAGTAATTATTTATATAAAAAATCTATTTATTTGCCTTAATTATATAATGTACATAAATATTTCTCATTATAAAAAGAGTTAGTATTGATATCCGGATTGTTGGTTGAAGCTCGGTTTGGCTTGCAACTGGTTTCCTTGATGCGAAGAGAATCCTTGAGATTGTCCGTTGAACGATTGAGAGTTTCCATTGTAGGCCTGAGCGTTTCCGTCGTATCCTTGAGCGGCGTTCTGAGCCAAAGACTTGAGGATGGCTTCCGGGATCGGTGGAGGAGTTGGAAGATGATCACCGGTTGGACGGAAACCGTTCTCATCGGCAACATAAGTTACGGTGTAAGTTTTACCGTCGTCTCCTTGATACGAGTAAGATCCGTGCACGGATTGGGATCCATCCTGCTTCAATTCACCGGTTTCTTGTTGAGAGATTTTGTTCTCGGTTTCGAATCTGCATCAAAGAGATATGAATAAAAAAAAAATGCAAATTGTTAATTTCGTAAAGAAACTCACTCGAATCCGTATGATCCATCTCCTTGGTTTTCGTTGTTGAAACGAAGGATGGAAGCACCGGCTTCAGCGGATTGGTGCTTCGTTGGAGCTCCGTATTGACCAGAAGGAATGTTGGATGATGATTTGTGGAAGGAATTTGATGGAGCGCTCAAGAAGTTACCGTTTCCTCCGGCAGTTTGGGCACTGCTTGGAGGAAGGTAAGTGTTCTCCAAACGATCGGCCGCTACGGCCACGAATAAAACGGAAGCTAAGAACTAAAAGAAAATAATAAGCTATCGATGAAGATGAACGAAATTTATCAAAAACTCACCAATTTCATCTTTGAGATATGTTTGCACCAGAACGAATCACAATTGAATGATGCTGCATGGACCATCCTCCGCATCTTTTATACGCGGGCCATCCCGAAGATGATACACTTGTTTCGGAGGTAACCAAGGTTACTCGAGTAAAAGTAAATACGAATATATCAACAACATCAACAACAAAATCGATTTCATTCTACATGGATTATTGTAATAATTTAACAAAAATATTATTATAATGACGATGATGATGATGCATAGTTTATTGCCGGATTTGTAACGTGACACGTCCCATAATGCGTGTCGCAATTAAACGGATTTCGCGATTTCATTAATTTAAATTAAACGTCGCCAAAACGCCGAACGCAATTCATTATTACGCGTTTATTATTATTTTGTCAATCATCGAAATACGTAATAATACACTGGCAAATTGCAGTGTAACAATGCGTAACATTTACAACAATCGAAATCAGTGCAATTTTGTACAGATTCAATTGTAACAAATTTTATTGTTTTCACTGCTTTCTAAACTCACATAATTATAGTTTTTTTTAGTTAGAAAATCATCATTTACAAGTTTTGTCTTAATTTGTTAATTAATCAGTTAATAAACAAAATAATGCAAATTTACATTGATTAATGTTTGTTACAATTTAATTTAAAATGATTATAAGATATTAAATAATCATTTTAAATAAAAAGTAACTTTTGTACGTATTTTCATTTATTATTCACGTATTAAATACTTAAATTTAAAACATAAAACGACGGCGAAAGTTCATATGAAAAATGAACGAAATAATTCAAATTTACATTCAAAGTTTGTTTTTTTGCAGTATTTCATTTTTATCAAATTCTGATTTTTGAAATATTTTGTAATAATATTAATTATTAAGTAACATTTTTACGTGCATTTACTTAATGTTTGTATTAAATTTGTAAATTATTAATTATGAAACGACGGTGAAAATGTTCAATGCAAAATACGGATTACGTTTTCATGAATTTTGCATAACAATAACGAACGACGTGCGGACAGAGATGAGGACCGAAAAGCGAAAATTACAATTTGCATAATAAATACGTTATCTGTGCATTCGAGATGCGATGATGCATCTCTTCCACACACAGACACACAGACACAAAATACAACAACAAAAAAAGAACAAGTCTCATTGTCGGCTGTTGCGAAAGTCAACCTATGATACTTTTCAAATCGTGATCTGCATTCTTGTTGCGTAAAGAATAAGAAAAAAAGCAAAAGAATGAGAGATGAATTGGAATTACAAGCTGAATAAGTGATGAACGCATCATTGAAAGAAGTATATATTTGGTGATCCTGTGAATTGCTGCAAATATCAATGTTATATAATACATTTTAGTGATTTGTAATTTCATTTTGAAAAAAATTGGATTATGATTATTGCAATTCAATTTTTGAGAAATATTGTGAAAAAAATAAATTTGGAAACGTTCTTAAAGATTTTGGTGAATATCTTGATCAATAATCATGACTTATATAAAGTATTATATTCAAATTAAAGATAAAACTTTAGCAATTCATATCGTTGTATTTAGTATAATATAATTTTAGTAATTTCCAAGAAAAAGTGAAGATTATAGTAAGTAAATATTGAAAAAAATCGATGGAACAAGAATTATTTAATAAAAATTAAAAGAACTAAATTTCGATTAATATTAAGAATTGACTAACATTTTTATAAAATTAAATTTGATGAACTAATTCTATTAGTTTTAATAACTTTAAATACAAAATATTAAAGCTAATAAATCTGGAAATATAAATAATGAACTTGTAATTAAATTTGAATTTGTGATTAATTTTAATTAAAATGTAATAAGTTTTTTCAAATATTCTTTATTTATTTTTCATTCTTTTCGTTTTATACAAAAAATATTATCAAATTTCATCTTAATATTGGTATCCAGTCTTCTGGTTGAAGCTCGGTTTGTTCGATGCGAAACGCTGGCTGCTGCCGAATCCTTGCGATTGTCCTCTATTGAAAGCGTTTCCATGGAATCCTTGTGTGTTTCCTTGGAAACCACCATTGTAAGCTTGAGCGTTTGCGTTGTATCCTTGAGAAGCTTGAGCGGCCAAAGACTTCTGGATGGCTTCTGGGACGGGTGGTGGAGTTGGAAGATGTTCACCGGTCGGTTGGAATCCGTTCTCGTCGGCTACGTAGTTTACGGTGTAAGTTTTGCCATCGTCTCCTTGGTACGAGTAAGATCCGTGAACGGATTGGGTTCCTTCTTGAGATCCAGACTGCTTCAATTCACCAGCTTCTTGTTGCGAGATCTTGTTCTCAGTTTCGTAGCTTGAAAGAAGAAAATTAGTTTTCTGTATTTATGTTGAGGGATAAGTAATAAGTACTCGAATCTGTATGAGCCGTCCCCTTGGTTCTGGTTGTTGAAGCGAAGGATGGAAGCTCCGGCTTCGGCGGATTTGGCTTTGTATTGGGTGGAAGGAGCGCCGTATTGTCCGGACGGGATGTTGGAGTGACCACCGAAAGATGGAGTTCCGTATTGGGTAGATGGAGTCCTGGAGGATTGAGATCCGAAACTGGAAAATCTCGATGGAGCAGCGAATTTAGCGCTCGTCACTTGACCTGGAGGAAGGTATTTGCTGCTGGTTGCACCTCGACCGAAAGGAGCGTTCAGGAAGTTACCATTACCACCAGCAGTTGGAGCGTTCCTCGGTGGTAAGTAGGTGTTATCCAGGCGATCGGCGGCGGCGACGGCCAGAAGAAAGGAGGCGATTATCTGCAAGAACAATGCGAGTTAATTAAACACTTGATCGTTGCTTTTGCAATCGAATTCAAACCAATTTCATTGCGGATCGACGAGTGAGCGAATGATGCCGAAAACGATGCTCGATCCATCTTTTATACTACTACTGCTCACCTGAAGAAGATCCGAAATTACCTCAGAGATGTCTCAAGGTGAGCAGGGTAAAAGCCTGCAAAACACCAAGCCCAGGTCCAATTACATTTTTTTCCAGAATTAGTGCACACAATACTTTAAAACAGATATAGAGGAGAGAAAAATATGAATAATACGAGTGAAAACGAATATATATGCAAATCAAAACTATTTCGTATATAGAAATGCATATTTCGGAAAAAAAATAGACATAAATAAATGTATAACATCAATTTAAATAAATTTAAATGCAAAATTTATTGTTGTTTCTGCACTAATCCAATTTAAAATTTTGATTTGTTTACTATGAAATATCGTTTCTCTCTACACAATAAATCTATACGAAATCACGAAAACATGTTTGTACTAAAGTAATATTGTTATAATTATATATGCAGATAGAAAAGACTAAAAAAAAAATGATAATATTTCAAATATTAGAAACAAAATGAAAATAATAGAAATAAAATTACTGCAATTAAATTGTTTATTTAATTATTATAAATATTGAATTATTTTACTAATTCAATTAGTTTTTATTACATAATATAATAATTAGAATTTCAAATGTAAATATTTTTCATAATGAATAAATGTAATTATATAAATGAAATTTATTGTTTCAGATTTTTAATTTTTGCAATCGAAAGCAACAAACAAAAAGAATAATTTATGAATTTGAAGATAAAATGTAAAACAAAGCAAATATTTAAAAAAAAGACACACACGAACACAAAAATGCGGACAGTATAAAAATAAATGTATGGGAATAACGAGGATCAGATAAATTCGGTCTATATTTTAACGTTCTGAATTTGATAAATGATTGTGTAAAAATAAAATTTCCCGTATGAATATTAGAAAATGTGTGCGTTGAGTTTTTTTTTTTGTTTTTACAGTATTTTATTTGTTTTAGTCATATTTATTACCCTAGTTTTTAAACAATGGGGAAAAACAACATGTTTGTTGGTTTATTTGAGTGAGTTGAAGTTTTTTTTTTGAACTTTATGTGCATCACGAAATATGCTGTGATGATTTAATTTATAAACTGTAGAATTTTACATAAAAATGTAAGTATGAAGACTACTCTATACACATATAATTTCATATTAGATTTGTTGTGTAAAATAAACTTTGTTGGTATTTAAGATATTTAATAAAATGTGTGTCAAAACTTTGTTGTTTTTTTTTTGCTTTCTATACACGTTAAATAGCTTCAAGCAAATTCTTATGCAATGGAAATAAACGAGATATACTTATTTTATTTACTACAATTTTGTGCTTCATTATACTAACATAAATTCTTTATGATTTCAAAGCAAGATATTCCATTTATTTGCATTTTTATATGAGAATGAAACGAGTTTTTAAATCTATATATTAATAATTTATTTTTAAGTGAAAGTAAACGTTTCAATATAGTTTTGTAGAAAACAAAAATTTGTTACAAATTAAATAATTATAGAAGAACAATATTTATTGCAGCAATTACGTAAATAATTACAGAGAATTAAGTGTGAAATAAAAAGAAAATGAAAACTTGCAATTATTGTATATATTTTTATTAAGAAATAAAGTAAAATTGTTTTCAATACAATTCTAGCAATTTGTAAATCTTGTTGTTATTTAAGATTTTGTTTTTAAATGATCACTTGATCGTTTTTAATGTTCCTTTTCCTATGAGAATTGAATTCGGATTGGAATTGCGCAACGGCTCATCAATCACACACACTTCGTCCGTCCGGCATTCTTCTGCCTCCTCCGGGCCTCTTGATTGAAACATAAAAGAGTGGATTCTCATTCAGGAACCTCAACAACAACAAAAAAAAAATGAATCATGAGCATCAGCACAATCACAATCGTCGAATTACGCAACCGTCATTTGTTTATTTAATTAGACCGACTCGCTGTTGCGCAATGGTGGTTCAAGTGAACGAGGTCGAGGGATTTCGTTGGAATCCTGCAAATTTAACGTTTAGATTTCGTTGACCGTTCGATGCTATGGAAACCGCACAACTATACAGACGGTTACTAACAACAACAACAACAACAACAAGAACAACAACAACGAACGAGCGAAACTTGTTTGAGGTTGCTAATGCAAGCAAACGTTCGTTCCAGGTAACCACGGAAACTCGTTAGAAATTGATTTGATCTTCTATTTTCCGCTGAAAACGATTCCCGACACCTCCACCAATTTTCGCAAGAAAATTATGTTTGTATTTATCCAAACTTTATGAAAACTCACATGAAATCTAATTAAAACTAAGATTGATTTATAAATTAACTAACTAAACAAGTGCAAAAAAATTCATCAGAAATAAAAAAAACCAATCAATTTAAAATTTCGATAAAAAAAATAGTGAAATAATAAAGTAAACTCAATCAAAAATATTGGATCGAGTTGGCACAGTTAATTGAAAAATCAGTTGTTTTGTTATTAAAATTTGCGGAATGGGAATATAATATAAATCGATTTTCGTCGGAAAAGCGGGAAATATAAAATTTTAATTGAACTATTCGTAATTCGTTAATTAGTGAGGAAACGTTATTGTATATAAATATACGCGTATTCCGCGTTGATTCAACACAAAATACGCCGGATAAAGTTACAATACGATTCATTAAAACAACACAACGAGTTTATTTATTTATTGATTGATTTCATTATATTATCCATTGTTATTTTGTAAATTGAGGAAATGATAACAATGTTTTATGAAATTAATAGCAATTTGCATGTATTTTCATTAATTTTCATGTAAAAAGTTATAAAACTAACTAACACAATAAAATGAGTTTATTTATTGATTACAGTTCTCGTTGTTATTTTATAAATTGTGAATTGAAAATGATTTCTTTCCTAATATAAAAACTAATGTTATTAATTCATTGATTGGTGGTAAATTGAAAGAGATGGAGGTTGCCTTTTGTGCGAAGTTTAAACAACTATTATATAATAGAGATGTTTTGTGGAATGCGTTGGAATTGGCTGAATTACGGAGCTCAGACATGAAAGCCCGAAGGCTCAACTAACCCAATTCTAATCTCGTGGATCCACGAAATCTCCATCGTTATTATTATTATCAACATCATTGCGAGAATACGGCCGTAAAATAGATTAATTTTGTTAATTATAAAACTTTTCGTTGCTGTAATTAATTACTGTTAAAACAATTAAACTAAGCTTGATTATTTTGGATTTTTTTTTTTTGTAAACAATATTTATTTATAGTTGTACCATGTGCAAATACAGGTAAATTAATTTGTATTTACAAAGTTTTTTTTTTAATCGAAATTTAAGTAGTTAATTGTAAAAATTGATTTTTTTTTGTTTAATTAGTACATTTGCAAATTTTAAGTATTTCACGAAAACTACTCAATTAATATTATATATTTAATACGTATTTTAAATATAATATTACAAAGTTCCATTTAAGCAAAATTATTTAATTGTGACTATTACTAATTTTGAGTAATTAATTGTAAAACATGAATCATTTTTTCTTGAATTAGTACCTTTACTATTTTACGTATTTCTCGAAAACTACCCAATTTATATTATATATTGAATACGTATTTTAAATCTAACATTACAGAGTTTCATTTGAGCAAAATGATTTAATTGTGACTATTACTAATTTTGAGTAATTAATTGTAAAACTTGGATCATTTTTTGTTCAATTAGTACCTTTACAATTTTACGTATTTCTTGAAAACTACCCAATTTATATTATATATTAAATACGTATTTTAAATTAAACATTATAGAGTTTCATTTGAGCAAAATGATTTAATTGTGACTATTACTAATTTTGAGTAATTAGTTTTAAAACTTGAATCATTTTTTACTCAATTCGTACCTTTACTATTTTACGTATTTCTTGAAAACTACCCAATTTATATTATATATTGAATACGTATTTTAAATCTAACATTATAGAGTTTCATTTGAGCAAAATGATTTAATTAATTTTCAGTAATTAGTTCTAAAATTTGGACGTTTGGAATAATTTCGTTAATTATAAAACTTTTAATTACTTTTTTTTAATTTATAGTTTTACCATGTGAAAATTTCAAATAAATTAATTTGTATTTACACAACTTAATTACTAATTAATTTGTATAAATTGGGAGAAAATTAAATTATAGTTTTGGATGTTATGTGTATAAATAGAATGTTTATTTCGATTCGTGTTTACGTAATAATTACAGATTTGTACATGTTTGCGTTGTTATTATTAGTTTTTTCTTCAACTATTCAATTAAATTAATTAATAAGGGTAATCGGAATTATCGTTGTTGGGGGGCAGATATTTCCTGCTTTCGCTTCCGCCACCAGATGTCATCCTGTCGAGAGCCTTCTGGATTTCGACTGGGATTGGTGGAGGTGTCGGAAGATGATCACCGGTGGCTCTGAAACCTTGATCGTCGGCGATGTAGTGGACGGTGTAGGTGCGACCGTCTGGGCCTTCGTAGGAGTAAGTTCCTTCGACGACGGAGGATTCCTTTTCGCCGCCGACGCTCCTCATAGAACCTTGCTCTTGCTGCGAGATCTTGTTCGATGTTTCGAAGCTGCAACAGTACGTTTATGATGCTAAAGTTGTATTTATTTTTTGTAGTTTGCACTCACTCGAATTTGTAGTTTCCGTCGCCGCTGTTTTCGTTGTTGAATCTGAGGGTGGTGGCACTAGCATCTTTGGATGGACGTCCAGAAGGAACTCCGTACTTGGTCGAAGGAGGTCCGTATTTGCTTGAAGGAGGTCCGTATTTGTTTGAAGGAGGTCCGTACTGGGTTGTAGGAGTTCCATAAGAAGTCGAAGGAATTTGTGGAGATGCACCGCCGTCAACAGGTGGCGTCAAAGAGCCATCGCTTCCTCCAGCACTTGGAGCACTGTTCGGTGGTAAATACGTGTTCTCAAGACGATCGGCGACGGCGGCTGCCACCAGCAGAGTGACCAAAAACTAAGGGAATTAAGATTAATTGAAACCTCACTCAAAAATCGCTTCTACTGTTACACTCACGAATCTCATGGTTGTTTGTTGTTGATGTGATGTGATTAGAAGATGTACCACGATTGAATGACGCTTTTGGCATAAACTGCCGTCGCTTTTATACAAGATGATGAACAGTAGCGGAGATGCTGCTACACTTTTCTCGTCCGTCAAAACGCACTTCAATTGGTGTGACGACGTCTCAAGGAGAACCAGGTAAAAATTTCAGGCGACCGATAGAAAGAAAGGAAGAAATGTTGCTTTTTTTTATTTGCGTAACGCGCGCGAATTGCGGAGACGAGCGTTTCGCGAAGAGAGATTAATTAACGAGTGCGTCAATCGCATTCTCGAGGCAGTCGTAAAAATATTCCACTTTGCAGATTTCAATCACTTCTGCAGAAAAAATCAGTTCTATTGAAATACATGAGAACAATGAATTAAAATTCTTCACTTTTTATATTTTTAATTAATTATAAGGAAAAAAACTATCAAGAAAATACTCAATAGTGAAGTTGATTTATTAAAGTAAATTAAGTAAAAATGAATCGTTGTAAGCTATTTTTCATTTTGAATATTTATAGAAAACTATGAATGAAAAAGTAAATATTAGATATGTATATTAAAGCTAATACTATAAGAATTATTTAGAGTGAAAGTATATGATTATATCTATTTCCAATTTTGCGTAAAACACTTCTAAATTTGACTTAATGAAGTCATTTTTTTAAGAACAGTGATTTCTATTTTTACATATTTCTGAAGAAACTACGAATATACTATAAATATTAATTATATATACGAATTTGAATTATTTTAGTGTTTATTGTTACTTCATTTATAGATTTATTGTGGATAATTGTGAAAAATTGTATTATTGTTTTAAATTTAGTACTTTTATAATTTTACGTATTTTTCGAAAACTACCCATTTAATATTATATATTAAACATATATTTTAAATACAATTTCGTAGACTTTAATTTGAGTGAAATAATATAATTGTGACTATTACTAAGTTTGAGAAATTAGTTCTAAAATTGAATCATTTTTTTGTTAAATTAGTACCTTTACAATTTTACTTATTTCTCGAAAACTACTCAATCAATATTATTTGTTAAATACGTATTTTAAATAAAATATTATAGGCTTTGATTTGAGTAAAAAGATATAATTGTGACGATTAAAAATTTTCAGTAATTATTTGTTAAAATTGAATAATTTTTTCTTAAATTTGTACCTTTACAGTTTTAAGTATTTCTCGAAAATTACTCAATCAACATTATATATTAAATACGTATTTTAAATACAATATTATAGACTTTAATTTGAGTTAAGTGATATAATTGTGACTATTATAAATTTTGAGTAATTAGTTGTTAAAATTTGAATCATTTTTTGTAAAATTAGTACCTTTACAATTTTACGTATTTCCCGAAAACTATCCAATCAATATTATATATTAACTACTTATTTTAAATATAATATTATAGACTTTAATTTGAGTGAAATTATATAATTGTGACTATTATAAATTTTGAGTAATTAGTTGTTAAAATTTGAATCATTTTTCTTTATATTAGTACCTTTATTATTTT